GCCAGAAACCGCCTCGTTACAGCGGGGGGAAATTCCCTCCGGCGACCCTGCCCCGCGGGTCCCTTCGCTCCTGGCGCTGGAGCTCACCGGGACGAGCGGAAGAGAAGTTTTGGGTGTCAGCGCTGCGCGTTCCTAGGTGTTTTCGTAAACCGACGGCTGGGTTTTGACTCGCAGATGAAGATGACGTGCATAAGTGCGGGCGCTGCCAGTCGGAGTTCACCTCCTTGGAAGAATTTGTGCAGCACAAATTACAAAAGGTCTGCCAGCGAGCTCCAGAAGCTCTCGCTGCTGCGTCAGCAGGTCTCCTCAACCAAGAAGCACAAAAGGTGACAGCAGGTTTCTCCTCGAGCCGTGCCTGAAAATAATTAGGATGCAACGGTCTGTTGGGTTGGAGGGGAGAGAGCAGAGTACAGTGTTTGTTAAAGGTAGCAAAACCTTTCTGCTAAAATGTCATCTGTTACAGCAGGTCGTTCCTTCTGTGGAGGAGTCGATAACTGTTGCTCATATAGTTGTTGAAGCATCTTCAATAGCAGAGGACATCAGCAACGCATCTGCTCTAGTAGGTGAGCTTCGAGGCGCTTGCCTTTACCCCCCTGCTGGCCTAGGAACTTGTTTGCTCCTCCAGTGTCCTCTCCTGCCTGATTTGTGTCGCAGCTGGGTACGTGACATGGGGCTTGCGACTGAGCATGACCTCAGCGACGCGCAAGGGGCAGCCCCGGGCCAGCTTTGCAGTTCCTTCCGCACCAATACAAATTAAAACTCCATTCCAGAATTAAAACTCCATTCCAGAATTAAAACTCCATTCCAGAATTAAAACTCCATTCCAGAAGCATCCATTTTGCTGCAATAATGAGACCTTTGCAAAGACCCGCCTTCCAGGTTCAAAGCACCCGTTTCTCCTTCCTACTGCACGAAATGCAGAAACAGCGAATCGCTCCAGTCTGCAAAGCTCTTCTGCAAAGAACATAACGGGCTCCCTCTCCTTTTCCCAGGTAGTGGGCACATCAAAGAAGTCATTGTGGCAGGTGACCACGTTTTTGAAAACCCAAATGGTCACGTTGATGGGGAAGTCGCCGAGGAGCAAGGCAACCCCGACGATCCGGAGCAGGATCTTTCCACAGAACTGATAAAGGTGAAGCTGCTGGTTAACAAAGAGGGGCGATACGTGTGCGAATTGTGCCAGAAGACGTTTAAAACGGTGAGTATCGCTTCAGCGGTGGTGGGGTTAGCGAGTTATTTAGGCGGAGACATCTCAAGGCTCGGTAACAACGTGCTTCTCCGCTGTGTGCTGCGCTTCCAAAGGCAGCGTTCTGCTTTCCGCAGGAGCACTGGCGTTCTTTACCGTTGAGATGTGAAGTCCTCAACTGTTTGGAACATCTTTTAAAATGAAGCTCTTTCCTTAGGCCAGCATCCTCAAAGCTCACATGATCACGCACAGCAGCAGGAAGGACTATGAATGTAAACTCTGTGGAACGTCCTTCAGGACAAAAGGGTCTCTGATCCGACACCACCGGCGTCACACGGGTAAGGCAGTTCTCCCCGCCGCTGGAGCGTGCTGCGCGTGGTTAGCCAGCTCGCCCGCCAGTGGGGTTTAGTGCCGCTTTCCACCTTCTGCTGAGCTGAGACCAGGGAGCTCCCCCATGCTCGGGTGCTGGGGGGGCGACACGAGGCCCCGGGCTGAGGGCGGTCTGCTCGCTGCAGAAAGCTGAAGGCGTTCTTCTGGCGGGCTGCGGCGTAGAGCCGATGCTGGCAGCTGTTACTTTAATGCTGCTGTTTTGATGCTCGTCATTTCCAGATGAGAGACCTTACAAATGCAAGAAATGTGGGCAAAGCTTCCGGGAATCGGGAGCTTTGACTCGGCACCTGAAATCTCTGACACCTTGCACCGAAAAAATTCGCTTCAACATGAACAAGGAAACAGTCGTCAATAAAGAGGATTTGCCAACAGGTCAGTGGTGCTGTCGGTGCCGGCCTTGCCTCTGATAAACCCCAGCGTGCTCCTGGCACTCAAACTGTAAATTCTTTCTCAGTTATGAAAAAAAATATCTCTGTGCTATTCAGTTTGTGCCTTCTTAGACGTGAAAAAGTAACTTTTAGAGCTAAACTACTAACCTGAGGTGCTTGTAGCCGGGTGTTGGCTGTGAAGGGCGTTTGAGAATGTGCTACAAAGATGGGTTTAACGGGCACCTCGTCTTCTGAGCCACGTTTTGTGTAGGGCCCAGCGGGTGGGTGAGGGTGGCAGTACGCCCAGGGGTTCACTGTGCTGCTTTTCTTGAAGGATCCTGTAGTTCAAACACAGACACCGTTTCGTCAATAGCGAGTGAATCCTTCGAGACCTCACCCGTCATTCATCTTGTGACAGATGCGAAGGGCAACATTCTTCATGAAGTCCACGTCCAAATGCAGGAGCTTCCTGTCGTCGATGCGAAATCCTTGGATCAAGATGTGAGTATCGTGAAGTGTTTCGCCTCCTGGACAAAATCTTCTTAGGTGCTGAGAGAATGACTCTGTGTGGTGGCAGTAAAGGGTTAATTAGCTGCTTGTTCATCTGAGAACACAGAAGGCAAACTCTGCTCTGACCTTGTCTGGCCATCTGCTGCTGCGGGGGCTTAGCAGCGTGTGCACAGCGCTCGGGGGCGATGTGCGGGGTTCACCACCACGTCCTGGGCCATCCAGAAGGTGCGAGGGTGTTGGTGCGGACCCTCCCCTGCTCGGAGGCTCCGTGGTAGGAGCAAAGGCCTATCATCCCTTGGGCTGTACGTGTTCAGAGTAGAGATTCACCTCATCTTCCTCCCCAGTCCGAGATCAGTCCTGTGGCCTTTCAGCCCTGTCTCACAGCATCACACACCCTAGAAAGAGCGACTCTCATAGCAATGGTGCCTTAAAACGAGAGCTGCCTGCGATTATTTGCTGTCCCGGTCACTGGGCTGTTTATTCCTTCAGCAGTCACATCCCGAGGAGCTGCCGTGTGAGGGGGAAGTGAACAGTGAGAACCTGCTGCGGCAGGCCATGAGGAATTCGGGGATTGTGATCGAGAGAGTCGCTGTGGAGGAGCTGCAGAAGCCCGATCAGCCTGCCGGGGCTGCTGCAGAAGAGCTAGACAGCGCAGCGGTGGAAGCAGAAGAGGAGGCGTGTGGGGAACAGTGTGTGGAAGTCGAACAAGCAGAGTCTGTATGTTTGTATTCCATAAATAGATTAATTGTGGGGTTTTTTTAATCCTCCTTGCCTGCAGTGGTTGTGGACAGCACTGTGAGCCTCACCACCCTGCACGTTAACCTCAGCACGACTCCCTGGGCCTGGGTCTTTGGGTCCATTTTTGTAGCCCTGTTTTCCATGTCCGCTGTAAGCGTAGCGTGCGCCCTCTTTCCCGTTCACACGCAGGTCTCCTCCTCGTCAGAGCTGGAGCACCGGGAATGCGGTTGGCAACGCTTGCTGCCCACGGTGCTACAAAAAAATATTTACGTGGCACCTTTTTTCTTTCCGACAGACAGAGGCAGAGCGAACAAACGGCTACAAGCGTTACCTTTGCCCTCAGTGCAACGAAGCCTTCAGCGATGCTTCTTCCTTTGAAACGCACATCAAAGCTCATTTAGGTAAAGCGCTGCTGCTCGCGCTGCTGTGGAAAACGTGCCGTGCCTGCCGGTGACCTGGAGCGTGGCACAGCCACAGCCTGCGTCGTTTCAAATGCCTTGCCTTCACGTGGCCCTTAGCCACGCAAAACCAACTGGCGCTTACAGACTCCTCGGAAAAGGTTGACTTTGAGCTCTAGAATAGAGGGTAAAAGAGATTTATTATTTTTTTTTAAAAAAAAAAAGATGTTTCCGTGTTTCGGGGCCTGCACTGTGTCCTTGAGAGCAGAACTTTGTGAGGAGGCCACTGGCAAGGTTAGCGAGGCACAACAGGCCGATAGTTCTACTCAGGCCGAACCTGAGTTCTAATATAAAATCTAGATCACATAAATAAGGAGAAAGATAACCTGGAGCTGCTGCTGCAAAGGCACCAAAGGCCGTAAGGGCAACGTTTGAGCAGAATTCCCTCATGAGGGAGACAAAGGCCACGCAGACAGCTGAAAATATCATTTCCCTCCTTCTCCGGGTTAATTTTTTGGTAGGAACTTCGTTACAGCACGTACTGGGTACTTGCTCCTGCTGGCTCTCCCGTATCAACCGGGTGTTCTCTCCCTCTCTCTAGATTTCAAGCCTTTTAAGTGTGAGGAGTGCGGCAAAGAGTTCACCAAGGGCTACCTGCTGAAGAAGCATCAAGAAGTGCACGTGAACGAGCGGCGCTTCCGCTGCGGCGAGTGCGGCAAGCTCTACAAGACCATCGCCCACGTGCGCGGGCACCGCAGGGTGCATTCCGACGAGCGGCCCTACCCCTGCCCCACCTGCGGCAAGCGCTACAAGACAAAGGTGCGCCTCCCTCGCTCGCCTTCAGGTTTTCCTTGCTGGGGCCAGGGTTTGGGAGAAGTTAGGAGGCTTTTGGCCCTGAAGGAACAAACACCAGCTCACCTGCCTGTGATATGAGCTGAAGCTCCAGGAGCTTTTGTTTTGGTGGGGAAAAGAGGGACGGTCTTAACAAAATCTTCGCGGTTCTGAAGAAACGATTACTTTGTGCGTGGAACAAATGACGTAACGATCGTAAAAACAAGTCCTTATCATGAGAAGGCGGCACCAAAGATGTTGACTTTTACCCCAGAAGCTAAAATACTGCTTGCCTGAGTGTGTCGTTCCCTCCAGCTGCCCTTCTCTTGCTTCTCTCTCCGTACAGAACGCCCAGCAAGTCCACTTCCGCACGCACTTGGAGGACAAGCCCTACGTCTGCCAGTACTGCAGCCGGGGCTTTCGGGAGAAGGGCTCGCTGGTCCGCCACATCCGCCACCACACGGGGGAGAAGCCTTTCAAGTGTTACAAGTGCGGGCGAGGGTTTGCAGAGCACGGCACCCTCAACAGGCACTTAAAAACCAAAGGTGAGGTGGCAGAGCTTGTCTGCGTCGGGGTGGGGCGTGCCTGGGGGGTTCCAGGGTTGGGTTTGGGCAAGAGGCTTTTGGCTGCACGGTAGCGAGTTTGCAGAGTGGACCTGACGGCCCGTGTCCAAGCCCACTTGCTTATCTGCATCTCGGCCGCATCAGGAGGAGATCTGTTGTATTTTTTTTTTATCTACATTAATGAGTATTTCTCCTGTGAGCTTTCTGACCAAAAATGATGCCGAGCAAACAGTCATGGAGCAGTTCTAATATAAAATCTAGATCACATAAATAAGGAGAAAGATAACCTGAACAGAACTTGCATTAAGCATCTGACTGTGGGAGGGCTGTGAGCTCCCTGCTCCAAACCTCTGGCTTAAGGGGTCTCTGCAACATCACCCCAAAGTGGGGGAGACAGACCCTGTGCCCTACAGGAGCCTACCCCAAACTGTGAAGTGGTTCTGTTCCAAGCACAGAGTGGGAGAAAATTAATGTTTTTGCAAAGTCATACCAGAGAGAGCTTGATTTCTGTGTTGGGGAAGAGGTGAGAGGACTGCAAAACTTACAGTGTGGCACATATAGTTATGGGTAAACTTGCCAGTTGGGGGGGGGTGTTTTTGGCGTTAAATTTGTACTAATTTAGGGGTTTTATGAAATCCTGTAAAAATAGAAAAGTGTTGATGTTCTGCAAGGAAAATGTCTTAAGTAGAGTTAAGTTCTCACAGATAATCTTGTTTGATCGGATTAGTTGCGCTGGACCTGCTGCTCCTTTAGCTCCTAAGCACGGATTTCCAGACTCCTTCAGGTAGTGATGATGATGATGTATTTAGACTGTAAAGAACAATACAAGTTCACCTGGGGGGGGGAGGGGGGGGGAAGTCTCCTTCGCAGATGCTGAGATGTAATGCACAAGCAGGAAAGATACGTGACTTAAAACACACCAAAAGTCTTACGGTGTGTTCTGCACGTGTGGCTTTTGAAGTCCTGGATGGTTTTGCCCATCTGAATTGACTTGTGATTGTTGTCGAAATCGCCCTGGACGGCTGCTCCGCTCGAGGCTCGGTCCTGTTGCCGGGTGTCACACAGGCCTCTTCGCAGCCGCTGCTGGTTGCTCCTCAGTGGCGTCCTGTTAAAGCGGCCTCGTTTGTGCTCCGTAGTATTTTCCAGGTGCTCCTACCTTTGAGGTGGTTCTGAAAGAGACTTGTTTTTTCTGGTGTTTCTGGAATCCCATTCAGGTGGCTGCCTCCTTGCTTTGAAAGAGGTGGAAGAAGTGATCGTGTCTGAGGAGAGTCAGTCAGCTGACAACTTGGCTGCGACAGTCATTTCTGAAGATCCTCACACTGTCCTGGTCGAGTTTTCTTCCGTGGTGGCGGACACTCAGGAGTACATCATCGAGGTAAGGCTTGGGGCAAACGCAGCACGGTGCTTGGGCAGTAAAACCTGCAGTTGCGCCTGTTCCTCACCTGGGCTTTTGGGAGAAGGTACAGTAGGATCCAGGCAATGCCACCCCTGCCTGCGTGACCCGAGGAATAAGCAGGATTAATCTTGGTCAGAAGGAGAGCGCCTGGACCCTGCTGCACCACCCTTCTGCAGTCCTGCCGGTAACGTAGGCAGGACAATGAGAGTGCAGGGAAGACTGACAGCAGTTCACCAGAAGGCTGAGACCGAGAACTTCTGACACCACTGCATTTCACGTCCTCGACAACTTCAGCTTTACCTCAACTTTCACCTACTCTCTTCTACCATTTCTCTTTAGCTTATTTTGTCCAAAGGAATCTGTTGGTTTTGACTGGCTGTGGCTGCCAAAAGCGACGAATTACGCGTTTCGCTTTCTCCCCCTCCGTGACAAGGAGCCCGTACTCATCCGTGCAGAATAACACAGTTCATTTATTGAGTCCCTTTAGTGCTGCCATAGTTTTTCACCAATAGGAGAAAAATCTCCCAGTTGGCCAAGTCCTGCTGAGAGAGGATGTTCTCTTTCAGTTATTTGCGAGCACTCTGCATTACTTTTAAGTAGCTCTCGGTAATGGGATTTGGAGGGAATTTCAAGGAGTTGTCTTTAGAGTGGCTACCGCATCACGGGGGGAACAGACAGACTTTTGTGAAAGATCTTAGTGTCTTATATCTTAGTAATAAGAGACTTTTTTGTGATAATCTGAAAAGGGAATCATCATATTTTGTCTTTCAAGACTGCTACTGAAGACATGGAGACCAGCGAAGCTACCGAAATAATAGAGGGAACGAGACATGAGGTAAAGCAGCCACATAAACTGTTATTCTGGGGACTTCCTGTAGATGAAATGAATTGCTTTTAGTGTCTGAGATGTTTATTTATGCTAAACCCAACTTCAAGTGATTAATTTACCTACCCCTGTAGTCTTGCAGACCTGCCTGTATAAAAACATAATCCTGGTGATACTGGGCTTGGCCGAGCTCCGTTAGCCCCCGATCCTCCCGGTGCTGGTGGCCTCATACACGGGAGCACGGCTGCTGGCTGTGCAGAACTGTACAGTAACACCCCAGCCTTGGGGAAGCCATCCTGAGTGCGTTCCTGAGCGCTAGCAGTGAGGGTTGCTGCCAAGTCAGAGGCTGGCCCGGCTCCCGAATTGCATTCGGTCCGTGTAAATGCCTGGGTGTGCATTGCTGGGGTGTTCGTACAGAGCAGTTTGACTTTCTGCAGGAAGCACCCCGCTGGCAAAACGCGAGGTGAGCCGAGCCATGTTCTAGGAGTCTGCTGCCCTCGGGGGGATGAGAGCTGCAGTGAACAGCTGGAGGAAATGGGAATTAAACGCAGCTCGTACTGCCCTGCTGGTCAGCAGGCACTGCTGACCGGGGTGATAACTGTCCGTGCTTCTAACGGCCTCTCCGCTCTTCGCGTAGGTCGACAGCCACATTATGAAGGTGGTGCAACAAATAGTCAATCAGGCAAACTCTGGTCACCAGATCATCGTGCAGAACGTCACCGTGGCAGAAAACTCGGGAGTAACCACAGATGCTGCCGACACCATCACCATCGCCACCCCCGAGAGCCTGACGGAGCAGGTCGCCATGACGCTGGCTTCCGCCATCGGGGAAGGCGCCGTGCTCACCACGGAGGGTGGCATCGAGGCGGAAGAAGCAACGGTGACGATGGTGGCGTCCGAGGACATCGAAATCATGGAACACGCAGGGGAGTTTGTGATTGCCTCCCAGGACGGGGAGGTGGAAGTGCAGACTGTGATTGTGTAAGGAGCAGCGTGCCGCTGGAGACAGGTGTTAACGTAAAGCTTCCTCTTTTTTCCAGTTTGGGGAAGTTGGTCAGTGCTAAGTCTGCCATTATAATTGTTCAGAGAGCAAGGGAGAGAACGCTTCTGTAGGTAAGTGGCGTGACAGGGTGGTGCAGCCCCGAGACGTTTTCTGTTTAAAAGGGAACGGCAGCAGTTCAAAACCTCGGCACGGTTATACTGTGGCAGCGACCAATACGTCGCTGCGTTTGCCAGTCTCGGTATTTCGTACGGCTCCCTCAAATAAAGGAAGGTCCTTTGCGAAGCATCATTTACCTCTGACCGCAGGACAGTCGTGTTCTGGTGTTTAAAAAGATTCAGGAAGCGAAGCAAATCTGCAGGGTCTCCTAAGAGACTACTTAATCATATGCATTAAAACAAACCAAGAAAACCAAACCTAAGGAGTTCTGGTGTGCACTCACCACCACTCAAAAACCTTCATGCCTTTAACCTCACTACTTTAGTCCTCCTAAGGCATGGTACTGCAGTATTTTTCTTTTCTTTTATTTTATATCCTGGACAAGTAGCCTTACGTACTAGTCTATGAACGAATGTGTCATTGTACCCTTGCAAGGCCACACGGGCTGCTCTGAGAGCCAGTCTGGTGGTGTGTAAAGCCATATTGTATATGATTTTTTTTTTTAAAACCATATATGGATTTTTAATTGCATATTGTACAGATTTGGCATGTAAATAAATACATTTTTAAAAATAAAGTTATTTAAAGTTCTTACTATATTCTTCCCATTTCTGCTCTCTTATCACTCAAACGGAAGAATTTCTGGAAAGAAACAGGGCCGCTCCACACTGTGTGTAAGAAACCCTCATTGTCAAACCCTCATCATCAAACCCTCATCGTCAAACACGCTATTTTCCCCAAAACAAGCACAAGCCTCTAAAAGCAGCCAGTACATCGGTGCTTTGGAGACTGTTCAACAGGCTCATCTGCCAGGATCTGCATGGCCAGAGCTCAGTATCAAATGTCTGAAACCTTTTTCAAGATGCTGAAATCCTGTCCAGAAGTCCACCATTTTCATGACTAAGGCTGAAACAGCATCTTATTTTGAAAGAGCTCAAAATAGGTATCAAGAAAGAGACGTGGCAGCTAAGGAGAAGTAGCACTTGACATAGTTTCCTTTCAGAAATTAAGGTGCTCCGCACTAGAACATGGTTTCTGCAGGTTAAGATTCTGCCAGTAATTGTGTTTTTTCAGCTAAATACCTGCAACCTATTCTACACGTTGTTAACAGTAATGGGTTAGTAATTTGCCAAACAGATACTCACTAAATGATGAAGCTTCCTCAAAGTTTGCAGCAGCTCTTTGTTAGCTCTTCCCTTGCCAGAGCACACACACAGAAAAAGATTCACTTCATTACCAAATGTTTGTTTGCTGGTTTCTATAGCAGCAGCCTCACTACTGGTCCCTCTGACAAGGAAACAAGAGGAATAAGCTTAACCTCCGAGATGTCACCGAGTGAAGTACCTGAAACAGTGCTCTGCCGAGGCATCGTTACGCAGAACACGCTGCGGTCGGCTGGGAGTTACTATTTTCCTACAGGGGGAAAAAAATGTGAATAATTGACAAGCAAGTGCCACTTCCACACGTGTGACATCGCTATATCCCTGTGAAGTCTCTCGCAGGACGACCTACTTAAGATGTACCAAAGTACCTTGGGAGCTCAGTTTGCCTGTTACACAGCGCTGTGCATGATGCAGCACACAAAGGAGCGACCATAAAACCCCCAAACGGTCCCTGGGTACGTGTCCCTCAGCTGAGCCGAACTCTAGTCCGGCTCGATTGTGTCTGAAAAGACCAACAGGCCCCTGTCACAGCTGGTACCAGTGCTGTTACAGATAAACTTGGAAGAACTCCAGTTTTTTGAAGACTGGTGGGCTTTATGAAAACATACTTTCCAACCACCTAATAGAAATCCAGTAATCTTTTCACAAAAGTTGGTTGGGGCAAAGCGCACTGCTGAAATAAAGTCTTACAGGAAGGTTAAAAACGCACACCTAAAGAATAACAGCTTCATGTCGTCTTCTTTCTTTCCAGCGCCGTAGGAGGCTTAAAGATTTCCTTTAAGTTCATCCAGACGCCTTTAGAATAAATGTTGTTGTAGACACCTCGTCTGTCATGAGGCTGCAGCGTTAGATGGTGGGAACACCCGTATCTTCTGGATTTGTACCACTCGTTGGAAGTTCGGTTGGTTAGAGCCAAATACAGACTGAAACAGCAGTATGCGCCCAGTACGAGCGTGAGAAGGAAAACAAAACCCAGCATGAAGACAATCCTAGGAAAAGTCAAGAAAAGGTGCTGCAAAGAAAGAAAATAATCACTTAGTTAAGAAGTTGGAGCATTAAATCACGGGGAGGCACGTGACCACCACAACACACCAGCCAAAATGCACATCCATGCGCGCACGGAACTGTGCAGCCCCAGAGACAAGGTCACAGCCCTGTCCTCCATCCAGCTCCGTGACGGGCCATTCCTGATTGAATCTCTGAGTGAAGCACAGGCATTTCCAGAGATGTATTTCCTTGCAAGCCTTGCTAATATGCGGGAGTATTTTCCACGCCCATCTAACTCGGAATGGTTGTATTTCATATGGCTTGGGTTTTGTTGGGTTTTTAAATGAATGCAGATCATGTGAAAACAAACTGCCAAACAAAGAGGCCACGATCTGGTAACACATCAGGTTTTGCTGACATGATACAGTTTAAGCAGCTCTTTTTGGAGTTAAATTCCCATACTGGGCAGTGGCAATGGTGCTGCTCAAACATGAGCAAACCTTCCCTGACCAAGAATCGCTTTACAAGAGCCCAAGGCCGAAACATCTGTTGTCTAGGATGAGGAAAAGATGAAGCATTTACTACTTACCACCCCACTGCCATACTACTAAAAGGGATGAGGGGATTGAAATGCAAATGCCTCAAGTCACCCTTTGCTTGTATGTGAGAGAAAATATTCAAGTCTCTAAATTCCAGGGTAATGGGGTCGTGCTTTAACATCTCCAGGTAGATGCCTCAGGGATTGTCAACTGTTTCCTAAAGTTACTAGAAGAGATGGTCGTTGGATGTAAACTCATTCTTTATGAAGCAGATCTGCCGGGTGGAAGCACCCTGGGGACAGAAATCTGAAGAATGCGGAGCAGAAAAGGAAGGGCTGTGAGAAAAATTGGCTGTGAAGGGTTGGTAAAACCCCTGCAGTCTGTCCACATCCTGGCTGTGAGAACAGGTGGGTCTACAAGGTTCCTGAAAGCAAGGACTGAGAGAAACCTTTTTATAAGTTAATAACCCAGGTAGCACAAACCTACCTGAACAAGGAAGAGAATCTCAACAGCATGCTCTTGTCCTTGCTCATCGACGTAACTCCCACGCATCAGATCTGACAGCAGCACCACTCGGATGAGAAATGCGGCTGTGACGGCTGCAACGGCGGGGCGCCCGGCGTGACGAGGTAAAGGAGGAAATACTTGGCATTGAAGGCACCGACGCAGTTGTTGACCCACACACAGTGGTGATCGAAACGATGCACACACCTACCGCAGAAACCTGACCAGGAGCGAGTCACAAGACAGTTCAGTTACTTGGTTTTTACGGAATCAGTTTGATTTTTTTTACACAGTTTAGGGTAGGTTTTCACCTGAAAAAATCTGAGAATTACGGTCATGATTTAGCTGACAGCTTTTTAAGCAAATACATGCATTTCAATTGCCTATCACAAAAAAAACCCAACACTAAAACCAAAGACACGTATCTCATTTCCTCTTTTATTCACCAAGACTGCAGCTCAAAGACTTTGGTTTCTCTGACAGCACTGCCTAGCAAAGCATATGCAAGGCAGAGACTGTAGCTCCCAGCTTTAGTTTAGATGGTAACAGCGAATTCTGCAAGAGAAACACAAAATCCTGAACTCGGGTCTTGACAGGTGGTAATTTTCATGTCACTTCCAGATGCTCAAAAGCTTGCCTGTTCCTGACCCCAAATAATCCCCTCGGAACTGGTAATTTCTGTGAGAAGAAATGGCAGCAAACCAGTTCCATGGATGGGCAAAGGGACCCCAGTAAGATGAAGACAACCCTGTGTGCATCGAGCTAGATTAACACAACAGATAGTTGTGTGAATGCAGTAACTGATGGAGAATTACTTGGGGAAAGTATTGCTGTTACCCTTATCAAGGAAGTTACGATTCTTACTGCAATGTTTCGATCTGGCTGGCTTCTCCACGTCGCACGTAGGACACACGGCGCCTTTCTGAAATAACACACCATCATACGCGTAAATCCCAACCAGCGAGGCGTGATTGGATTTTGTTATTATACCTGCGAAAGAAACAGGCAGAATAGCAAAAGCAGTGGTGTTTGTGACGTGGTTTAGGTTCCGTTTTCAAACGGCCACTGCTCGCCGTCAGCACGAGCTTACCAGGATCGGCCCGGGAGCAGAGGATGAAGCAGCCCACGTTCCCAGCCAGCAGCAGGTAGGGCAGCAGCAGGAGGAGGAGGGGGAACTGCAGCTCCCAGCAGTAAACAAACACTTCCCACGTGTACTCCCCATACACTGCAGCTTGCAAGGCTATGTGCAGGACCACAAACAAACAGCTTCTGCAACAGAAAGGGGACAGCCTAATGCTCAGCATCCTCATTAACGGGTCAAGTACACTCAGAGGTGATCAGCAAAGACTTTCCAAATGCAAGGAGACACGTCTTTTAGGTTTTCAGGCCAGCATGGACTGCGTATTAATAGTGTTTTCTCCATCCAATGGCTTCTCCTTCCCTTCTTCCCACATACACTCCTTTAAATACACCAGCTAACCACTTCCATGACTGGCATGTCCTTTGGATGTTTTCTCCAACAGCAGAGTGAAGTGCAAAGCACCCTCGGTGCTGACAAAGTATGCCCCAGCAAGAGGCCACAAAACATTCTGCCAGAAGGCATGTGCTGGGCGCTGCTCTGAGAGCAAAGAAAGCCCCAGGAAAAGGAAATCTTAAAAAAACCCGTAATAATCTGAGCAGCCATTAGGAAATAAGCGTGGCAGGAGGTCAGCAACACTAGTTCCAACCTGCCAGCAGACTACAGCTTCCATGAGGCACGCTGCACAACGGCTGCATGCAGGTTGGTTTGGGGTGCAACAGCTTTCTGCAGCCTGGCACACAGATGCTCAGGTAAGCCAGGCATGAGCAGAGCAATGTCCACTTACTACAGTTCTCTGCGTTACACAGGTTTGCTGGGCTTTTACTACGAGTTTTAAATAATGAGTGACGTGTTACTACAGCGGGAAGTCCACTGCCCACAAGCTCTCCTCTGCTCCCTCCTACACCCTTTCTGGGTGCAACCCAGCAGGATCTGCAGGGCTACAAGAGCCTGCCCTCAAGCGCTGCGCCTCCCTGGGCTTCTGCATCACCTGAAAGATCTCTCCCTGGAATGAGGTGACGCAGGGGTGCATGGAGGATCGAAGTGCCCCCAGCACACAGCACGATCTACCAGTGCCAGCTACACCAGGCTCAGCAGCTAATTGCTCTGTTGCTGACTGCACATTTGACAGCGTCACCACTCTCTCTTGGGCTGTGTTAGCAGCAGAGAATCTGCACAGCAGGCAACAACCCAACTGCAGCACAGGATCAGCGGCGGTAGACGTTATGCCCCTGAAGTGTCTGTGATACTGGAGCGGCTGCCCCCAGAGGGGAGGGATTTAAATCGTTCCTGAAGCACCAAAGTTTACAGGACGCTACAAAATCCACCTTAATACAGCACATTGGCAGCCGCGCAGCTTCCCCTTGAGCTACCTCGACGTCCAAGCTGCTGGACTAAGAGTAATGGGATTTGGGGGAGAGGATGGGGATCACTAGCTCTGTCTAAACTCAATCTGCAGCTGCCAGAGAGTCTGCTGTAACTCTCACGTGGATGCAGCCTCCCACCAGTGTCACCAACATCTGTTACACTGGAAGCTACTGAGCCACATTATCTTTATTTGTCAATATGTTCAAATATTTCAGGGTAACATCTTCTAAACAACAAGCAAGGAACAAAAACACAACAGAGTGGCAAACCTTAAAGGGCATTTGTAACCCCTGACAAGCAGCCCTAACGAAGAGAGAATATCTAAGGATGATACTGAAAGCTCTGATGGTGGCACGAGGTCACCAATAGTTACCAGAAATATTAGTAAAAAATAAAGTCAACAGCAAGAAAAAAAAAAATACCTTGTGTGGAAGAGCCTGTGAAGTGCCCTGTGTGTCACGCTCTGGAGCTGCGTGGGGATTACAAATGCCAGTACCTGAAGCAAATGAAAACACTGTGTTACCCGAATTGCACAACGCTTCTGCTTGTGGAAAGTTCAAATGAAAATACAAGTCACCTAATCCCTCAGCTTGAAATCACTGTGGTCATCCCACTGGGGAGGAAACTCATTTTCAGGGGCATCTGAGCTCCTAAGAATACAGGCAGGCATGTTGCTGGGGTTTTCAAAATGGGAGCGAGGTTCCATGTTCTCGGGAGCCCAACAGGCACAAACAAACCTATCTGGGTTAATGTGTGAAAGTTATAAGGAGCTTATATCGGGTTATAGACTGGGTAACTGGTTAAGCAGGGGATAGAACTGAGCAATTTCCGAACTACAATATGCTTCATCAGGACATCTGACAGATGCAAGCGGAGATAAGCAAAGGGATAAAGCCTGCTGTCCTCCAGAAGAAGGGAAAAAAGCCACAACCTGACCAAAACCCAAACAAACACCACCAAAACAAAAAAAAAACCCCACCCGGTTTCTTCAACTACAGCTGTGATCCAGCCCGGTAACTCCACGTCTGTCTAATCGCTGTTTCAAAACCAGCGAGACACAATGAAGGAGGAAACGGCCGCCATTCAGCTGGTGAAATCCTCAGCCATAGCCTGGGACCGCGGAATTGACTCCGCTGTTCAGAAGACGAGAGATCTCTATAGCAACACCCTGCTCCATCAGCGGTGGAGGAATTAGAGCAGCTGAGCCTATTTCTAGCTGACATGGAAAGAAAATATGCAGCGAGAGCTTCTCGCCTCAGATGTGAAAGACCAGCAGGCAAAAAGCATACGTAGAGCTGAGAAGATGTTAAATATTTTTCTTTAAACTGATATGCCTCGCATCAGCGGCTCGAGTGACAAGTATTTCTAAGAAGAGGCTGTGTACTGCCCCAGGAAACACACAACCAGGCAGAAAAGCAACCTGCACGCTGCGAAACTCCCGCTAACTGTGTGCGTGTTGGCACAGTCCAACGTCACACGCAACAGCC